AAGTATCTCACGGGCGGCGTGGAGCGGGGCTAAACTAGATTGCTGGGACTCTTCTGTGTAGCGGCGTGAGAGATACCTTTGGCGGTGGCAGCAGAAGTCCGCAATTTACATGTGGCTGAGGCCCTGTTAGGGTGTGTTTTTTTGGCCGCCATAATATGTGTGTCTCTCTGTTTGTCCTCTTATTGTGCAGGTTTGGATCTGTCATCTCCTCTGTGTCTTTGAGGCTTCAGTCCCACTGAACTGGGGCGAGAAGTCCTTACTATAAGAAGACTGGTAAACAAACATCGAACTGGGGCGAGTCGTGATCACTACATGAAGACTGGTGAACCAGCAATTAACTAGGACGAGCAGTGCTCACTCAAGAAGGTTGGTGAACAAACATCGAACTGGCGCCCGCATTGTTTACTACAAGAAGCCTGGTAAACCAGCAATGAACTGGGGCGAGCAGTGCTCACTACAAAAAGACTGGTGAACCGGCAATGAACTGGGGCGAGCAATGCTCACTACAAGAAGACTGGTGAACGAACGTCGAACTGAAGAGAGCAGTGCTCACTACAAGAAGACTGGTGAACGAACATCGAACTGCAGCAAGCAGTGCTCACTACAAGAAGACTGGTGAACGAACATCGAACTGGAGCGAGCAGTGCTCACTACAAGAAGACTGGTGAACGAATGTCGAACTGGAGCGAGCAGTGCTCACTACAAGAAGACTGGTAAACCACCAATGAACTGGGGGGAGCAGTGTTCACTACACGAAGACTGGCGAAAGAACATCGAACTGGGGCCAGCAGTGCTCACTACGGGAAGGTTGGTGAACGAACATCGAACTTGGGCGAATAGTGCTCAGTATAAGAAGACATGTGAACGAACACCGAACTGGGCGAGCAGTGCTCACTACAGGAAGACTGGTAAACCAGCAATGAACTGGGGCGAGCAGTGCTCAATACACGAGGACTAGTAAACGAACATCGAACTAGAGCGAGCAGTACTCAATACATGAAGACTGGTGAACAAACATCCCACTGGGGCGAGCAGTGCTCACTACAAACAGACTGGTGAACCTACATCTAACTGGGGCGAGCCGTGCTCATTACAAGAAGACTAGTGAACGAACATCGAACTGGAGCGAGCAGGGCTCACTACAAGAAGGCAACCTAACAGAAATAAACACAAGCTTGTACAATGCATTGGGAAAAAAGCGCATAAACGATCCTTACATCTCCCCCCCCCCCCACCCCCGCCCTACTCCAACACCTAGCTGAGGTAAATGGTCCAAGAGATAAAGAAGATGAAGTAGAAGAAGAAGAAGAAGAAGAAGAAGAAGAAGAAGAAGAAGAAGAAGAAGAAGAAGAAGAAGAAGAAGAAGAAGAAGAAGAAGAAGAAGAAGAAGAAGAAGAAGAAGAAGAAGAAGAAGAAGAAGAAGAAGAAGAAAAAAAGGAAAAAGAAAAAGAAAAAGAAGAAGAAGAAGAAGAAGAAGAAAAGAAGAGAAGAAGAAGAAGAAGAAGAAGAAGAAGAAGAAGAAGAAGAAGAAGAAGAAGAAGAAAATCGTTGCTACGAAAAGTATATTATTTAATATACATGTTGTCCTTGTAAAGATTGAACAACCTTAAAAGTCTATGGTTAAGCACCAGCAAGGAGATAAAAATTAGAATTTTGAGAGCATGCATCTTCCCTGTGGCTACATACGGATGTGAGTCGTGGACTATCTCTCAGTCCTTTTATTAGGAAAGAGAATAGGGGCTTTTGAGCTGAAATGCTATAGAAAGATTCTCAGAATATCTTGGACAAAGAAGATGAGAAATATTGACATCTTAAAAGATCTGAACATCAAGGAAGATTGGCTAATAAACAGCATCCTGTCTCGGTAGCTGAAATATTTTTGTCATATCAAGCGCCAAGACAGATTGGAAAAAAAATATAGCAGAAGGCATGGTACCAGGAAGGATGGGCAGGGGCCGACCGACACGAAGATGGGCACAGGATATAAGTGACTCCTTGAGGGTGAAAGTGCATGAGGCGGTAGAATTGGCGAGAGACCGAGTTTCTTTCAGGCAGACTGTGATGAGAGCGACGTTCTGCAAAGGACCTGCTACATGATGATGATGCTGTTGTCCTTGTAGAAGTTTCAGCTCAGGCTATCTTTTAGCGCATTGTCGAAGTATGAGAATATTATTACACAACTAAATTTTAACGCATTCTCTTAATTATTACTCTGAATCTGATTGGTTGTAATATAATTTCTTTGGGCATTTTGAAAATTAAGCAATTGTTGCTTAATTTTTATCTGTTACGTTACACTGAGAAATGTACGAACAGTTGATCAGACTGCTCTCTCTTTCTCTCTCTCTCTCTCTTTCTTTCTCTCTCTCTCTCTCTTTCTCTCTCTCTTTTCTCTCTGTCTCTCTCTCTTTCTCTCTCTCCTTTTCTCTCTCTCTTTTTCTCTCTCTCTTTTCTCCTGTCTCTCTCTCCTTTCTCTCTTTCTCTCTCGTCTTTCTCTCTCTCTCTCTTTCTCTCTCTCTCTCTCTCTCTCTCTCTCTCTCTCTCTCTCTCTCTCTCTCTCTCTCTCTCTCTCACTACTGCTGCTGTTTCTTTTGTTTTCATTCAATGTTTCCTAGCTGCACTCATTTTGGGAAAAACTGGTTTCAAAGTTCCCCAATTTTTTCTGACTACTCTTCTACGATCCCTATATACACGTTACACACTCCAATTGAGTGTTTGCTTACTCTATATCGAGCTACTACTTCCCATAAAACTTGCCTATCGACTCTGTCGAATGCTTTTTTCCTGGAATATTAATGCCACACACACACAAAGGTTCTTATAGATTTGTTGTTCTTTTCAATTAACTTTTTGAGTATAGGTACAGCCAACTGTAGTTTCTTCAGTGGCCTAAGACTTATTTATATTATCTTGTGCATATTGCCAGTCAATTAGAACAGTTTGTTGTAACCATGTTGATATGATGTAACGGGGAGACACTAGGGTGTAGCGAGGAACCACTAGGGTGTAGCAGGGAACCACTAGGGTGTAGCGAGGAACCACTAGGGTGTAGCAAGGAACCACTAGGGTGTAGCAGGGAACCACTAGGGTGTAGCAGGGAACCACTAGGGTGTAGCAGGGAACCACTAGGGTGTAGCAGGGAACCCCTAGGGTGTAGCAGGGAACCCCTAGGGTGTAGCAGGGAATAACTAGGGTGTAGCAGGGAGACACTAGGGTGTAGCAGGGAACCACTAGGGTGTAGCGAGGAGCCACTAGGGTGTAGCAGGGAACCCCTAGGGTGTAGCAGGGAGACACTAGGGTGTAGCAGGGAACCACTAGGGTGTAGCGAGGAACCACTAGGGTGTAGCGAGGAACCACTAGGGTGTAGCGAGGGAGACACTAGGGTGTAGCGAGGGAGACACTAGGGTGTAGCGAGGGAACCACTAGAGTGTAGCAGGGAGACACTAGAGTGTAGCAGGGAGCCACTAGGGTGTAGCAGGGAGCCACTAGGGTGTAGCGAGGAACCACTAGGGTGTAGCGAGGAACCACTAGGGTGTAGCGAGGAGCCACTAGGGTGTAGCAGGGAGCCACTAGGGTGTAGCAGGGAGCCACTAGGGTGTAGCAGGGAGCCACTAGGGTGTAGCAGGGAACCACTAGGGTGTAGCAGGGAACCACTAGGGTGTAGTGGGGAGCCACTAGGGTGCAGCAGGGAGCCACTAGGGTGTAGCAGGGAGCCACTAGGGTGTAGCGGGGAGCCACTAGGTTGTAGCAGGGAGCCACTAGGGTGTAGCGGGGAGCCACTAGGTTGTAGCGGGGAGCCACTAGGTTGTAGCGGCTAGACGCTGGCCTGTGAATCCGAAGGTCGTGTGTTTGGGTCCTGATGGAGTCACCTTTTTTTTTCTTCCAAAAATTGACCCTGGCTCCCATTTCCACCCAACCTTGAGCTATTTAGATTGCCTCCCTGAACATCTACACAGAAGGTAGCTGAACAGGTATAGTCCTGGAAACTAGGGCTGTACCGAATAGTGATTTTCACTATTCGGCCGAATACGAATAGCGGGACCAACTATTCGTTCGAATACAAATACGAATACGAATAGTAAAATATATCTAAAAAACACACATTTATAATGTCAAATGTACGCTGAACTTTAACTTCTCACAAAGTAGCACAGAATAATCATCTTCTTTTTTAGCATTCTGAGTGAGCCCTTGAGGTTTACTGCTGCAGATATCACTCGTCTCCATTAATCTCTTTGGCTGGTTTTATCTTCACAATTTGTGACAAAAGTTGTTTGCAGGTCTGGCTGGACATTATCTCTCGAACTTCTTTTTTGTCTGCCTAGTCTACGCCCATTCCTCTCTCAGGTGTATGCAGTTTTTATTTCTCTGCCATCTGACATTCTTTCAATATGCCCCAATCATTTTAGTGTGTTAGCTCTTATGATGCCAGTGATTAATGCTGATTTAAACAGATTATGTGTTATGCTGTTGCTTCTGACTCTCCATTTCCCGCTGTTAGCATCTTTAATGGGTCCAAAGATTTGTCGTAGAACTGTTTTCGAAAACCTGTAATAAGGCCTCATCTCTTTTATTTCTGATTCAAGTTTCAGAGCCAAATAAAACGACTGGTCTCTTCAACGTTTTATATATTTTGATCTTGGTGTTGCGAGATGGACACTTGACTGTAGCAGATGCTGAAGGGCATAGTATACTTTTTTTCTAGATTGTATTTTAGATTGTATTTCTTCTCCCAGCATGTTGGGACATTTGAAGTTTGCACCCAAGTACTGATATGTTTCCGTTCGTTTGATTTTCATATTATCGACTTGTATGTGGTCAGAGTTTATATTCTTTCCATGTCTAGTTAGTATTCGTACAGAATAGTAAACATTTAAAAACATTTTATGTTCTGCATCCTTCAGTCAGTATTTGGTAACTAATAAGTAGGATTGAAAGAATCCTAAGTATTATAACAAGTAACTATACTTGGAAATTGTCACTGACAGCTTAGTTAATGCATGAAAGCTGCATTAGCTTTCAACAAAACCAATCGTTCCATGTTGTCAGCATTAGTCCGTGTATGCAGAAGCGGGTGTAAGGTAACTACTATTCGTATTCGGCCCGACCACAACTATTCGGTCGAATACCGAATAGTCAATAGGTCCACTTTTCAGTCCCGAAGCGAAAACGAAGCGAATATTCGGTACAGCCCTGGTAATTTCCATTGATTTATGGTGATGTCCATGGCTAACTCTGTTGTCCACTGCATTGCTAAGCATAGTAGTTTTCCCATTTTCCATAGCGGCATCCGTGGCTTAGGCGTTGCGAGTCCGCATCGTAATTCCAACGTACCGCGATCGAAACTCACTGCTGGCTGCGTGGATTTTTATCATGGTATTGGGCGTCGCAGGTCGACCCAGCCTAAAATGGGTACCAGGATAGCTGTCCTGGGGAAGTAAAGACAGTCGGCGTAATGTTAACCACATTACCCACCTAGTGTCGATCGGTCTATACAAATATGGGATGCTCTTCCCACATGCCCGATGCGCCTAATGCTTGAAAAGGGATCTTTACTTGTATTTTACCTTTTTAGTTCTCATTTCCAATGCTCACTATACTAGTTTTGCATGTATTGTCTTTTTCCCAGGAAGTCAACTTCGAGGTCTGGGTGCGGAGAGTCCTCCCTCAAGGCAGTTACGCCGTTGCTGTGCTGAGCCTACGTGGTGGAGGGAACAAGTTTCCTGTCTCATTTTCTCTGTCAAAGCTAGTTCCCGATGCCAGAGGAAAATACACAGTGACTGAAGTATTTACGGGAACCGCAGTGGGAACTTACTCATACAACGATACTATCACGGCATGGGTTGATGTGTCCAGTGTTGTTTTCAGGAAATATACTTCCTTGTCATAGATGAGAAGGATATCATGGAGTAAATCGATGAGTCGAAATCTTGATCTCATGGGTTTTCTACCTCTGCTGATCACATGAACCGCCCTCTTTACATTATCTTGCTCTTGTTTATAGTTATTTATTGTCAAATACCTTTTACCTTCTCTTATTGTCCAATTCTGGTCTGTGCATCTGAATACCAACTTCTTGTCTGTGAATCGTATTTTATCATTCCTCATTGTGCACCAGTTGCCTTTGTAGGTTATCTTCTTTGTATGTTATCTTCTTTGTATGTTATCTTCTTTGTATGTTATCTTCTTTGTATGTTATTTTCTTTGTATGCTATCTTCTTTGTATGCTGTCTTCTTTGTATGTTATCTTCTTTGTATGTTATCTTCTTTGTATGCTATCTTCTTTGTATGTTATCTTCTTTGTATGCTATCTTCTTTGTATGCTATCTTCTTTGTATGCTATCTTCTTTGTATGTTATCTTCTTTGTATGTTATCTTCTTTGTATGTTATCTTCTTTGTATGCTATCTTCTTTGTATGTTATCTTCTTTGTATGTTATCTTCTTTGTATGCTATCTTCTTTGTATGCTATCTTCTTTGTATGTTATCTTCTTTGTATGCTATCTTCTTTGTATGTTATCTTCTTTGTATGCTATCTTCTTTGTATCTTCTTTGTATGCTATCTTCTTTGTATGTATCTTCTTTGTATGTTATCTTCTTTGTATGTTATCTTCTTTGTATGTTATCTTCTTTTATGCTATCTTTTTTGTATGTTATCTTCTTTGTATGCTATCTTCTTTGTATGCTATCTTCTTTGTATGTTATCTTCTTTGTATGCTATCTTCTTTGTATGTTATCTTCTTTGTATGCTATCTTCTTTGTATGCTATCTATCTTTTTGTATGCTATCTTCTTGTATCTTCTTTGTATGTTATCTATCTTCTTTGTATGTTATCTTCTTTGTATGCTATCTTCTTTGTATGCTATCTTCTTTGTATGCTATCTTCTTTGTATGCTATCTTCTTTGTATGTTATCTTCTTTGTATGCTATCTTCTTTGTATGCTATCTTCTTTGTATGTTATCTTCTTTGTATGTTATCTTCTTTGTATGCTATCTTCTTTGTATGCTATCTTCTAATCGCTGCCATGATTCCTCATTCCCACCGCTGATTATTTAGTCCTTCTTCTTCCTCTTCCACTGGTAGGTTTCATGTAGGCTAGACCTATATTATATCGGAACTCGGGACGTGATGTGGTCAACGTCATGTCGGCCGCATTTACTTCCCAAGACTTTACATAGTACCCTATAAGGCTGGGTCGATCTGGGAGCCAAGGTCATTTTCAAAGAATTTATAAAAAAAAAAAAAAAAATAAACATCAGGCTCCGTTTAGAGTTGAACCACGAGCTTCGGATTCGCAGGCGAGTGCCTAGAGGCTACACCACGGCGGCATCTATATTCAATCCTAGTCTATGTATGGCATCGTATCATCGCCGAATGACAAGACCTTTGTCACTGAATCTTATTGTGGAATCTTTTTTAGTGTTTAGCATATTATCAAATCATTGTTTGTGTTTCTTATCTGTCACCTTCGCTTCAATAGTCATATTCTTGTCAGTTGCTATATATATACCTCGGTATTTATAACTACAGTGGGATCCCGGTGGGTGTTTCACACAGACGACTGTACAGTAAGCAATTGTATATATATATATACATATATATATATATATATATATATATATATATATATATATATATATATATATATATACATACATACAATTGCTTACTGTACAGTCGTCTGTGTGAAACACCCACCGGGATCCCACTGTAGTTATAAATACCGAGGTTCCAGTGCAATAAATACACCATCATCATCATCACCATATAGCAGGTCCTTTGCAGAACGTCGCTCTCATCACGGTCCACATGAAAGAAACCTAGTCTCTCGCCAGCTTTCCCGCCTTGTGCCCTTTCATACCTAAGGTATCACGTATATCATATGTCCATCAGCATGATGGTCAGCCCTGCCCTTCATTCCATTCACGGTTCCAAGTCTTTTGCTATTGATCTTTCCAGTCTACCGTGGCGCTTGATGTGGCCAAAATAGTTCAGTTTCAAGACAAGATGCTGTTAACTAGCCAATTTTCCTTGATGCTGAAAGCGTTACGATGTCAGCATTGTTTGCGTAAGTGGTACAGATATGAATTGTAAGACAATTACTATGAAATTATAAACATGCGTTAACTAGTCCCAATCCAGAATGAAGGAAATTAAATGATATAGAATCAACAATGTTCATCTTTGGGAGAGAACTAAATAAAGTCCAATGGACCAAGAGGTGAAGAAGAAAAAAAAAAACGCTAGTGTTGGACGGGACACACACTGAGTAAACCTGAGAACATTATAACTAGAATGTCTCTTGCACTGGAACCCACAAGGGCACAGAAAGGCAGTCCAAAAAGCACATGGAGACGGGAGCTAGAGAATGAAGTTAGAGAGATGAGGACATGAGGGATAGAATGAACTGGCATGAGCTGGTTGAGAACCCGGCTCCTCTGGGGAATAGAAGGCAGGAGAAGAAGCAGAAGAAAGAATGGACTGTACTTACTGTCGGTATTAACCACTTCTTAGGTCTGTATACGGTAAGGGGTTCTAGAGATTGAGGTCGAAATGCCTCTAAACCAGTGCAGATGATATAATACAAAAGAAACTGTGTACGGACAGACAGGAACTTTTTTTTTTTCAAACAATTATAATTATCTATAAATGTTATTGTATCACATACACGTTATTGGTATAATTGATAAATGAGACTCATATATCGAACTACTGTGAAGACTTATATTTATTTTTTATAATGAATTTTGCAATTATTGCTATATGTGTTATTTTATAGTTTAGTTGCAATGAATGTACAATGGATAGTTACAAAAAATATAACACAACTTCCTACAGTGGACGTTGTGTTATACTTGTCTGTAATTCTTCTTCTTCTTCTTTGTTTACTGGCTGCAAGCTCCGGCGGAAAGTCCTGGTTGTTCGTCTATTTGGACTTTGGCTATGTGCCGATGCCTGAGTTTTGCGTGTACATCCGTTTTACTGATTTTTATGTGTGCAGTTGGTTGTTCCCTGCCGCTCGGACAGATGCACTCCGAAGGAAGTCCCCAGTTAGTCGACTCCTACGACATGCTTGCTGGAAAGGCAGTGGGTCTATTCTTGAATTTCCCACAATGGGGCCTCCGAACCCACACGTAATATAAATGGCACTCTTCTCATAATTTTGAAAATACTGTGACTGGTTCAGCAAACCGATAGTAGTTTATTTAGTGCTCGAATGAAACTGAAGACATCTCACGAACCGACTGGAATTAAAGGGACAGAACCCGAGAATGTTCTCACCAATGCTGTGCTAGCGGTGTCAAGCATGGACGCTGTCTTCAGAGACAGAAAAAAAATATATCGACAGAAATAACATGTTTACGTTTCATGCTGGGTGTAAAAAGGCTAACAGTCGACTGAAAACAATGATATCAGGAGGAGAGTCTGTACAGAACCAATTCTGAACTTTATCGGTAGACAACGGATCAAATGGTTTGGCCAGTAACAAGATTAGTAACAGACAGGGCACCACAGAGAGCAATGTTATACAGATACAACGGTAACAGGTCTAGAGGTCGACCATGCAGATAATGGACCGCAGAAATATCAGAGAAACTGAAAGGTACTTTATAAGAAGCGAACAGAAGGGCCCTTTCCAGTGATCATTTCCTAATTGACACAGAGGGGTGGGGAGCGAGAGAGAGAGAGAGAGAGAGAGAGAGAGAGAGAGAGAGAGAGAGAGAGAGAGAAAGAGAGAGAGAGAGAAAGTAGTAAGTTTTTTTGCGGAGTGTGTTGTGAACGACGTTCTGTTAAGGACATGCTACATTATATAATGTAAATTTCAACGATTCTTCTAAATGGTGTATGATTACAACTATAAATACCACACACGGAAGCACACGAATAATGTACACAGGGAATATGTACACTCGTGTATGTGTTATGTATGTGTACACATGTAGGATTGTTTCCTACAAGAAAACTATGATCAAGAAACTCGAATTCCAGACAGTTTTATAGACATCGCTGGGCTGAGAATTACTTGAAGTTTACGATGATTACGTCACGGAATTCACAGCACCACCTTTTCAAAATCGCAGTTATTGCCATATTTAGGTCACGGCTCATGGAAGTTGGCTGGCAACCACGAACTGTTGCTATCCACAACTAGAACCACTGTTGCTTAGAAATTCCTAGTTCCATCTGAACTGGTTCGCCGTCTGTCTGGCACGATGTGCGTACAAATACATCGTTTCAGTTGATATCTCTGGGGTTGGCACCCCACCCTGGCCAACGGTCACGTCAACAAATAGACCGCCCAATAGCTGGCGTTGAAGACAACAAAAAGAAGAGGAAACATCAATCGCGCATATTTGTCTATCGTGTTCACGTCCTGAACTCTGGGGATCTTGACTTTGATGGACTTGGCTTTCTGCCGGAACTGAGACAGAAGTCTGCGCCTGCGCGATGGTATGTGGGACACACTTCTGCGTCGGACGCTGGTGCTTGACATGTATACTTGGGGTAAGTTCGAATCCTGGGACCTGTGGGGTGAAATATAATCAGGATACTGTCATAGTAAGGCAATAGTTAGGCATTATGCATGTTTATGGCAGTAACAAAAGCAATGACAGCTAGAGACATGCATTTTCCCACGTGTATACTTTATAACTGACTCAATGAACATTCTTTTCGAAGCCAGTCCCAAGCAGTTGCTATTTAAACCCCTTATAATGAGATCTGATGAAGATGAATAGAGACAGAATTCGTTAATCTAATAATTCAGGTAACAATAAGTTAAAGTAACTTATTTTTATTAAAGAAGACAGTAAGAATATCATATTATATCTGGAGTGCCTAGTGAACATATGATGAGTCGTCTGGTACTGAAAGAGTTAGGAATATCGAAACAGAGTAGGTTCAAAGACAGTTGTTGGACTCTTACAATGACTGAGAAAAATCTTGTCTTACAGGAAACCCGTTTACTTTTTATGCCAGGATATTCTGGGGTAAAAGGCAATGAACGAGCGGGTTGTCTTGCTGGTAGGGCCACCTTAGACACACAAAAAGCAACGGACCGGGCCGTTGTTCTCAATGCTTTCAAGAAAGCAGGGAGTATAGATGTTGTAGGAGTCGACGATGAATCGGCAGTTTTGACAAGACTGCAGTAACTTCATATCAAAAGAGGTATTGCCACACATAAATACTATACAGGTAGCAGGAGAAGAAGAATAAACCAACTCAGAACTGGTGTTATCAGTCGCTGCACTCTGAGGGAGATACTGAAGAAGGGATCCATGCGTTTATGGACTTTTTCGATGAGCAATGAAGATGATCGATCTACTGACTAAACTATGAAGTTTTGTACTTGTATGTTTGATCCTATAATCATGATACAATAAATATCAAGGTAACTCTAGGATCGCGATACAATTACATGACAACATCCGGCCCATCTGGATTCACTGCGCAGAAAAGGGCATGCAGGAGTTACGGGCTATACCGAGTGCCATCACTGAGGGCGATGACAACACTGCTAAAATGGTGTTCAACATCAAACATGTGTGTGTGTGTTGTGTGTGTGTGTGTGTGTGTTGTGTGTGTGGAAGCGGGGGCGAGGGGGGGGGGGTTGAGGGGGTAATTGGAAAATGTGGTACCTCGGCTACCATCTGGTTACTTCGATTCTACTTCACCCCAAATTAGGAAAACTGAGAGTTCCCTAGATAGTCCAAACACATCATCTGACATTAAGGTGTTTTCTTTTGCGGTTTATTTCGGTTTTCTGTATATAATGTGTGTTTTCATAACCCCTAACCGGTTCTAATTATAGCTACCAGGTTTGTTTAAGGTGAATTAAAATTATACTTTCTCAGACTCTTCTACGTATGGTTCTGTTGACTAGGCTGCATTACATGTACTTGGCAACTGTCGACACCCTTTCCCCCCCCCCACGCAGAACTGGCCCCAACCCAAACCCAGGATAACTGTATTATACACGAGAGACTTTTTTTTGATAAAGCACAGGTTTCACCCCTGTGAATCTGTATTAGATGGGGGGGGGGGGGAGGTACGGGTCCTGTTCACGTTTCCTGGCACATCTACACACTGCCTGGCCTTTTATTCATACTTTCTCAGACTCTTCTACGTCGGAGGGGTGTCACATTGTCTTGCCTCCAATTACATCAGCGCCGATGTCGCGTGTTCTATACTACACGACGACACAGCTTTCAAAGACCGAGGAACATGTAGAACTGGCCCAAATCCTAACCCTACCCACAGCCTCAGCTTAGGCCACTTCGGTCACACGAGAGACTCTTTTTCGAAGAAAGCAGTACAACGTGGTTTTGGTGCGCTTATGGGAACTACCTGTGACCAGCTAGATCAATACTGACAAAGTATTAGATCAGCACTTGGCAAACGTGAAAATCATGGTCCCCATCTACGATGGCAGTGGCTTCATTAACTGGCCCATGTAGAAACCATTTTCACACATCGAAAGTCACACAACGACACTGACGCACATGTGTAGAGCCTGGGAAGTCCGTAAACCTGTCCTTTCGACATGTCCTTCCTCACGATCCAGGTGGACGTTCTGGGTGTGGAGGAGTCCAGCTGGTTCTATGAGGTGGATGTCTTTCATCTCCACGGCTTCAGGTGTGCTGTTGTTCTGGGAAAAGACACATCGATAAATACTAAGCTCAGTGGATAAGAAGTCAGGATATTCTTCTGATTCGTCGTTCATCTGAGTGACGGTAATTGCGTTGTTGCTGTTTACAGCAAAGCTGTGATATTTGCGCATTTCAGAAGTTAATTCGACTTCAATTTGGGCATTTTTTTCACAGCCTTATCGGTTGTTTTGGTGCGCTTATGGGAACTAGCTCATTTACGTTAGGCTTACAGCTAAACTATATGAACTTACCAAGAAAAAAAACGCACCATGATAGCAAACTTGCATCTGCCGCACAAATATTGCGCCATTATTAAATCATCAGTACACCACAACATCTATCATGAAAAGAATGGAGGAAGAAGAAGAGAAGCGGTAACTGCAAGCTCACCGGAAGAAGAAGACGACAAGATGAAGAATAAGATATGTCGTAAGAAGAAGAAAGAAGAACAGACTAGAAGGATGCTCAGAACGGTGAAGACAGGAATGCTTCGAGCAGAGTGGCAAGCTTCACTGGAAAGGTCACAGGTAGTGAGTATATTTTGGATTTTTTCTCCAGGATAAAAAAGACCCATTGCCCCTCTAACAAGCATGTCGTAAAAGTCGACTAATTAAGGGTGTTTCCTTCGAAGCTGGAGGGCATGTATCTGAAAGGCGTGGAACCAACGTACAAATAGGCCAGATCTGTACAAAGAGACGCGCACGCAAAAACCGAAGTTCTAGAACTAAATTCCAAATTAGGAAACAACTTACCGCTGGAGTATGCAACCGGTGAACGCAAAGAACAGGAAAAAAGAAAAAGAAGAAGAAAGAAGAAGAAGAAGAGAAGAAAGAAGAAGAGAAGAAGAAGAAGAAAGAAGAAGAAGAAGAAGAAGAAGAAAGAAAAGAAGAAGAAGAAAGAAGAAAGAAGAAAGAAGAAAGAAAAGAAAGAAAGAAGAAGAAAGAAAGAAGAAGAAGAAAGAAAGAAGAAGAAGAAAGAAAGAAGAAGAAGAAAGAAAGAAGAAGAAGAAAGAAAGAAGAAGAAGAAAGAAAGAAGAAGAAGAAAGAAAGAAGAAGAAGAAAGAAAGAAGAAGAAGGAAGAAAGAAGAAGGAAGAAGGAAGAAAGAAGAAAGAAGAAAGAAGAAAGAAAGAAAGAAGAAAGAAGAAGAAGAAGAAAGAAGAAGAAAGAAGAAGAAAGAAAGAAAGAAGAAGGAGGAGGGGAAGAAAGAAAGAAGAAGAAGAGTTAGAAGAAGAAGAATGAAGAAAGAAAGAAACAAACAAAGAACAGAACAAGAACTAGAAGAAGAAGATGATGAAAAAGAAGAAGATGCTGTTGAGGAGGAGGAGGAGGAATAAGAAGAGGCACTGGCACCAGTACCTAAGGGCTCATGTCCACTGAACCCCTCTGCCTCAGTGTTTAAGGGCGTTAAGCTATCCACATACATAAATCATCTTTAAAAGTACTTATCTATACATTTTATGTTATTTCACAAAAAGTATTATATTTATTTACAACTCAGCACATTATCATTATAATTTTTTTTATTATCATTACTATTACTATTAGTATTAAAATTTTTTGTTATTATACATTATTATAATTTTTGTTGTTATACATCATCATCTTAAACTCATCTTATCTTGATGCTCTTGTATCTCGCGATGTCGAGGTGAAGTATAATTTACAGGAAACTGCCTGTTTGTGAGCTTCGTAAATGGGGATTCCTGAAAACTCTTTTTTCTCCCTTTCCCTATGGTTTGAACCATCGGCCTTTGCTTCGCTTCCTGCCTAGTCTGTACATCATTGCTGGCTGAGGTATACCGTCTCCTGAAATCCGCGTTTTATGGCCAAACTATTTCACCCGTTGTCTTCTAATGAAATCCAGAGCTGCTGTTACCCCCATTTTCCTTCGGATTTCGTCGTTTCTGATCTAATCTCTTCTAGTTATAATGAGAGTCCGTCTCATGAATCTCATTTCAGTTGTTGCATCCTTATTTTAGTTGTTGTATCATTATTATACTCTTAAACAAAATCTAGCCTCTCGAGCCCACTTTCCCTTCTTGTCTGTAACATTTGTAACGTAGGGCGGGGGTGGGGAGCTGATCTCCGACCCCAATATTTTCTTTATGTCAGCGCTTCTTGGAAGGAGCAGGAGGAGGAGAAGGAGCAGATAGCAAGACACGTTTCAGGCATCTTAGTGGGCGCGAGTGTTTGTACACATGACAAGTGCCACATCACTAGCTTTCATCCTGTCTCAGCGAGTGCTTGTATTCAAGCACAGCTCAAGTTGCCATTTCCAATGTACTTCATCTTTTTCTTTTCAAGTGCCCTCCAATCACTAATTCTTTTACCACTTCCTTCAATCACCCATGTTTTCACTAGTTCCTTCAATCACACATATTCTCCTGGTTCTCGCCGAAGTTTGTGTTATGTTTGCGACAACACCACCATCATCAGCGTCTCACCGCAGGGCGCAAACTCAAGATCTCCTTATGATTGCTTCATTCTTCGCATGTGGTGCCACAGGCGCCCTCTTGTCGCCCCTTTACATAGTTACAATTCTTCAAATAAAACCTCCATGTCCGGATCTACGAAATAATCAATGTCCGGCTCTAGAGATGGGCCCGACGATAAGGTCTGGTTAAAAAAAAACTTGCCGATGTAGGAAGGAAAAGAGGGGAGGGGGGCTGAAGAAAAAGACAAAAAAAATGAATGAGTCATGGAGGAGAAGGAATAAACAGAGGATCGAAAGAAAGAAATAGAGAGAGAGAGAGAGAGAGAGAGAGAGAGAGAGAGAGAGAGAGAGAGAGACCTTTCGGATGTGAGTGGAAAAATGAGAGAGAGAGAGAGAGCCAGTGAGAAAGTTTTAGTGTTCGTGACTGAGTCGTAAAAGAGTGAATGAAAGTGAGTGAGTGTGTAAGGGAGTTGGTGAATGACATAGATATATGTACAGAGAGATCATACTATGTGAATGACTAAAGTGAGATTTATATATATATATATTTAGTTAGAGTAGCAGACCGACAGACAGACAGACATACAGTTGTGCCCAATGAGTGCTTTGTGACCATATGTCTTCATGGTAACAACCTAACAAGGACCCTTCAAGTGTCTAGAGGAGCCAGATCAGGTCTTCTCAAGCGAGTAATTACGGGTCGCTTTCCGAATAGTTTGGAGAACGACGGAAATGACCCGACATCGCCTAAAACCACACCTCCGTCTAGAAACAGACTGAGGGGCCATTTACCAGAACATTGGCACTCAAGTTTGGACCACAGGGTGAGCACAGGAAGGACACAGCTCTAATAGCTGATGTCGGTGGAAATGTTTGGGGTACCCGTGGTCAACATCTGCCTTATTTCTTCTTCTTTTTCTTCTTCTTCTTCTTCTTCTTCTTCTTCTTCTTCTTCTTCTTCTTCTTCTTCTTCTTCTTCTTCTTCTTCTTCTTCTTCTCTTCTTCTTCTTCTTCTTCTTGTCTTCTTTCTTCTTCTTCTTCTTCTTCTTTTCTTCTTCTTCTTCTTTCTTCTTCTTCTTCTTCTTCTTCTTCTTCTTCTTCTTCTTCTTCTTCTTCTTCTTCTTCTTCTTCTTCTTCTTCTGCTTCTTCTTCTTCTTCTTACTACTATCTTCTTTATCTATCTTCTTCTACTTCTTCTTCTTCTTCTTCTTCTTCTACTCTTCTTCTCTTATTCTTCTATACTACTTCTTCTTCTTCTTTACTTCTTTACTTCTTCTTCTTCTTCTTCTACTTCTTCTTTATCGTCATCTTCTTCTTCGTCTTCTTCTTCTTCTAATACTTCTCTTCTTCTTCTTCTTCTACTTCTTCTTCTCTTCTTCTATCTTCTACTCTTCTTCTTCTTCTTCTTTTCTTTCTTCTTCTTCTTCTATCTACTTCTTCTCTCTCTCTCTTTTTCTTTCTTTTTCGAGAACCTCCTTCTTCTACTGCTGCTGCTGCTGCTGTACTACTACTACTGCTACTACTAGTACTACTACTACTACTACTTTACTAGCTACTACTACTACTACTACTACTACTACTACTACTACTACTAAACTACTACTACTACTACTACAACCACAATTACTAATAGTATTAATAGTGAGAATAAAACAGCTACGATTTCAGGAAAACCTGTTAAAAAATATATAGCCTTTTAAATAAGAATAAACTCCACAGCGGAGCATGTACAGCAGGAGTCTACCAATCATCAGTAGAAGTAACCTTTCGTCGACAAATGTTTCGGCCCACGAGCTCCTAGACATTTTCAGAGAGTGGGCCCACCTGAGTTCAAGAAACTCAGGGTTGGTTTTCCCTGCTGCACAAAATACCAGGTGTTATTCGGACAGGGACAAGACGAATTGGTGATTTTGCAGAAGGTACTGTGAGATAGTCGGCTCTGTGGCTAAGTCGATGCGAACGCTTCGTAATGCCGGGATGCCGGGTTCGATCCCAGCTGCGGGCCATGCGCCTTGCGATGATTTCGACAGTTGTATCAGGGAGCTGACCGTCCAGGAAGCAATGGCAAACTACTGGACGTAAATTTGCCTAGAAAATCCACACAACAGCCAGGGGCTGCTGGGGTTGGTTCTGCAACGTCCTGTAAAGGATACGCAACTAACCTTTTTGATTGTTTATCTGTAGTCTATTGTCTGTGAATCTGTAGTCGATTGTTTATCTGTAGTCTATTGTCTGTTTATCTGTAGTCTATTGTCTGTTTATCTGTAGTCTATTGTCTGTAGTTCAAGACTTACCAATGGCTCCCCGTCATCTGGTCGCTTGCGAACACTGGCCGCTCTTTCGCGCAGTCTCTTGGCTTTCCGTTTAGCGCGAGCGCCCCAGTATGTGTAGTTTACGGCCGCGTACTCCAGCAGTGCGGCAAACACGAAGACGAAACACATGACCAGATAGATGTCGATGGCCTTGACATAGGAGATGCGCGGCAGAGAGGATCTGACTCCGTTGCTGATTGTTGTCATCGTCAGAACAGTTGTGATACCTGCAATGTTGGATTACTGCGTAAGAAATCAGGTGTATGCTAAATCAAATGGGTCATTTGACACGCAGACTTACCTTGATGTTTAATACATCGTAACGGAGGCATTAAGACAGCGCTGGCTACGCAAAAAGAAGCTGCTGTGAGACTTTTCCAGGCCATAAACCGAGGGTTTCCTAGCAAAAGAGAAATTGGCAAGAGGACGAAAATGGATGTTTACCGCTCTACCTATGTACCAGTCCTGACCTATGGGTGTGAGTCATAGGTAATGACAACAACCCACAGAAGCCAGCTTCAGACCTCAGAAATTAGATATTTGAGAAAGGTGGTCCTAGAGCCAACAAAGGAAAAAGTCCGCAATCAGACAATACGTCAAGATCTTGATACTCAGTCCTTACAAACCCGAGTGGACCAGTTACAGCTACAATGGTTAGGACATATGTGAAGAATGGGAGAAAATCGGCTCCCATGGTAGGCATGTGAGGCTAAAAACCAGGGAACCAGACCCTCAGGGCGACCCATGGTCCACTGGGAAGGCAACATCCAACAGTCCCTGACCGACAGAGGACTGGAATAGACCAAAGCCAGGAAGAAAACGGTTGATAGAGAAGTCTGACGATCTCTCTAGCAAACCTCTACATCCCAAAGTAGAAGAGGAGCGACTAAGTAAGTAAGCCCAGGGAGGACAGAAAAGGCGCTTTAGGGACACTCTGAAGACTGCTCTCAATTCTTTTGGCATTAACAAAGGACAAAGTGGGTGGCTGCAGCACAATACCGTCAAGGATCTTGTACGTCCCTCAAACATGGTATCATCACAGTTGCAAGGCAGCGGACTATATGCAGAATGACAGAAAAACGGAGGCAGACTAGACATGAATCGTACTGCCAATCCCACACCCTACTGAGGCTTCCACCAGTGGTCCACACAACATCAAGAACAGTCCTGACCACACTGGACTGGAATCAGCCAAAGCGTAGGAAGAAATCGGTTGATAGATTAGTCTACTTTCTCTCTAGCAAACCTCTACATCTCGTGGTAGAAGAGGAGCGACTAAGTAAGTAAGCCCATACCGGACAGAAAAGGCGCCCAGGGACACTCTGAAGACTGCTCTCAATTCTTTTGGCATTAACAGAGCACCGTGGGAGGCTGCTGCACTCGTCCGTTCTGGATGGGGTACGTCCCCAGGCATGGTACATCAGCCTGCAATGTCACACGGAGGTTGCAACACTGAATACTAAACGGCAGGCATACTAGAAAGAATACGTAACAAATAATCCCACACTAACAGACGCTTTCACCAGTTGTCCGCACGTTTTCAAGAACTTTCCAGGCTTCATGTGGACTAATCAGCCAGCTTTCTACTCATAATCATTACTACTTTTACCATCGAAAGTGGTCGTTATCACTCGTGAACCCAAACAAGCACCATCTTTCTAAGAACTCGATCCTACTGTGCTCCACTGTCTCTAGTTCCTGTTACAGGTTGGTGAGAAATGGTACGAGCAGATCATCATTTTTCGCACAAAACTGGATTGTTTTTGCTTCTGAAACAGCCAGAGAAGGGCGCACTTATAAGTTTTAAACACTGATAAACACTGCAAAATTAAAAAAAAAAAAGAAACCGATTGGAACACAATTCTGAAGACCCAGGCAAAGTCCCACACAAAAGAAACATGGCATTATATTTAGACTGGGTATAGGACACAACAGACTCTGCAGCTACACGAGGATTCAGAACCTAGCCTACGTGGACAGGCCCTACAGAAACATGAACGTGTTCCAGAGACATGCTTTGTGGCTCCCATGTGGACCCAGTCTTGAGCGGGTTCCAGGTGCAGTGGTGAGAACTAAAGAGGCACCAACGTGATGCTGCCAAGTGCCGATTGGTCTGAAAATATAGGTCTAGCCCTATATTCCTAATTTCGCCTGAAGGGGTGGAAAAGGGCCCTTTACTTCGGTTAAGTAATACTGTATTCTCAAAGACTCATAACCGCTGCAGCCAACCTCCATTGCGGAGACAACCATAAGCTGATAGTTCAATAAGTCAACCAGTGTGCCCATCAACGCTAAATCTTCAACGCAATCAGTTGTCTAATCTTCAGTCTCTACCACCTGCTTGTTGGCCCGAAGGTATGTGAGTTCTACGATTAGTCTAGGGCAGCCGATTTCAACATTTTTTTGGGGGGGGGGGGGGGGCCGAGCGAACCTTTCACATGGGTCGCCAATCACCATCACAAAACAAATATTCATTGAAGTTATGAAGTGGTGACGAAAATAACTGTAGGGTTGGGGGTCGCCACAACATGAGGAACTTAAAGGTCACGGCATTAGGAAGGTTGAGAATTACTCGTCTAAGGGCAGACAAACAAGTCAAATTAGAAGTGAACTCACGGGGTCGGTTAGAGAACTCACAGGGGCAGTCTAGAGGTCAACTCACAGGAAAGTCCAGATGTCTTCGTCATTTTTCTTCTTCGCGTTCACGGGCTGTAAACTCCTGCGGAAAAGTTTTGGTTATTCGTTGACCTCTGGAAACTGAATGTTGTGTGCGCATCTGTTTTACAGATCTGAAATCTTTGAATGAAGAATGCTGGTTTCAGGCAGATGCACTTCGACTTCAAAAGAAGTCCCCACGTGAAATCAACTCCTACGACATGCTTGCTCGGGAGGCAGTGGGTTTATTCTTGTGTTCCAATCAATGGGCCCCAAAAACTTTACTGGGAAGTCTATAGGGCAACCCACACGGACAATCTAGAGGTCAACTCACAGGTCAGAATATAGGGTCAAATCGCAGGGGCAGTCTAGAGTTTAACTCACCGATCCGTTTTGATGACAGCCCGCAGATCAATCAATCTAGAAATAAACTCCCTGGATTTAAACAAACGTTAGTCTACCCAGAGTAGGTCACGTTTCATTGACAACTTTGTTGGACTGGTCTACTTTCCTGGGGGTTACGGGTGTGCCGCTCTGTTGTTTGCTTTCTGGCTTGTCTTGCATTTACGTTTTTCTTCTGAGAAAGAGAATGCATGTGGCATAGGTTGCAGCACACTCTACGGGCGCTGTGTTAGAAGCAGTTTTTCCATGTTTTTTAAGTGTTAAAAGCGTTGGTGTACTGAAATATACAACACGCGATATCAACAGCATTGCGGAACACCCCCGTAACCTTGTGCCAATGTCTACCAATCAGAAGTGAGCTAGTGTGTATATTGGCGGGATCTGGGGAGCGAAAACATTACTTTTACTCAGATCCCTTTAGATGACAGCCCGCAGGTCATTCAGTCTAAAAACAAAACTCCCTGGTTAGTTAAGTTATAAGCGGACAAGTCATTGCTAGGCCAAACCAAAACCTTACCAAGAGCAACTCTTGCCGATGTCGCCTCATGGTTAATCCAGAACGACACCCAGGACAGCATGACAATAAGGATGGATGGCAGGTAGGTCTGAAAGATGAAATAGCCGATGTTTCTTTGTAGCTGAAACACCAAGGACAGTCTCTGGTAGTTACCTGAAGGGGGAGAATAGAAAAGTACGTAATGGAAGGATCTGAGGTAACTTGAAATCATGACAGTGTCTGTGGAAAAGTGATAAAATAACAAGCTCTCTAGTAAAGTGATGAAATGACAAGGTCAGGGGTGAAGTGATAAAATAACAAGCTCTCTGGTAAAGTGATGAGATTGCAGGGCCAATAGTGAAGTGATAAAACAAGAAGCTCTTTGGTAAATTAAGGAAATGGCAGAGTTTATGGTAAATTGAAGAAATAAGAAGCTCTCTGCTAAAGTGATGAGAGGGCAGGGTCTGTGGTAAATTGATGAAATAAGAAGCTCTCTGCTAAAGTGATGAGATGGCAGGGTGTGAAGTAAAGTGATAAAATAACAAGCTCTCTGGGAAAGTGATCAGATGGCAGGGTTTGTGGTAAAGTGATTAAAAAAAAAAGCTTTCTGGTAAAATGTTGAAATGTCAGGGTCTGTTTTTAAGTGATAAAATAACAAGCTCTCTGGTAAAGTGATGAGATGGCCAAGTCTGTGGTAATGATACAAGTTGACAAATCCGTGGCAATGTGACAAGGTGACTGGGCCTGTGGTAACGGGACAAGATGACGCGTCGTGTGGTAGTGTGACAAGACGACAGGTTGTATGGCAACTTGACAAAATGACAGAGTATGTAGCAACATGACAGAATGACAGGGTCTGTAGTAACGGGGAAAGAGGACAAGATGAGTGATAACGTGACATGATGACAGTGTGTGTAGTAACGTGACAAGAAGGCAGGGTCTGTAATAGCGTGACAGGAAGACAGGGTATGCAGTAACGTAACAAGATGACAGAGTGTCTAGCAACGTGACAGAAAGACATGGCTTGTAGTAATGTAACAATATGACAGGATGTGTAGCAACATGACAAAATGACAGGATATGTGGTAACGCGACAAGATGACAGGGTGTATAGTAACGTGACAAGATGACAGGATCTGTAGTAACGTAACACGATGACAGGGTCTGTAGTAGCGTGACAAGATGACAGGATCTGTAGTAGCGTGACAAAATAACAGGGTCTGTAGTAGCGTGACAAGATGACAGGGTGTATAGTAACGTGACAAGATGACAGGGCCTGTAGTAACGTGACACGATGGCAGGGTCTGTAGTAACGTGACAAGATGACAGGATCTGTAGTAGCGCGACAAGACGAAAGGTTTTGTAGTAACGTGACAAGATGACAGGGTCTGTAGTAACGTGACACTATGACACAACCCCCCCTTGGGCCTACTGTCAAGCTTATTTTTGGCACCACCTACAGCGTACCAAGTGAAGTTTTTCATACAGCTGGAAATACCTTAAAGGGGAGACAAAAGCGCCTTTGCTGAAAACAGGGGTGTCATGAAAATTTTTCCTTTAGTTTTTTGTTATAAACAAATACTTCTTTCCTAGGTATTAGTTACCACAATTGAGATGCGGATGCAAAACATGAAAGGGTTTTTAAAGTTTACTATTCTGTACTACATTTTGATTTAAAATTCAGCGTACTTTTGCATTATAAATTTTTTTTTTTTTTTTGACCATTTTTTAACTTTCAAAGGGGAAAGAAGGGGGCCTCAGTTCGAATAGGGGGAAAAAAGAAAAGGTGGTATAAAAGAAAAAAATTTATTTAAATCTAAAAAAAAGTCAATGGTTTTTTTTGGACAGTACAGAAATTTTGGGATTTGGGACATGGTAAACATAATGGAGGGGCATTACGAAATAAGAAAAGAAAAGGACAGGCAAAACTATTTTATAACTTTAAGAAAACTTATCAATTAATTGTCTTGAAGGTTAAAAAAGAATTCTTTTCCTTTTCTACATCACCAGTTTAAAATGGCTGTGAGTCCTGGACAAACGGGAGGGAGCCCAAAAAAAATTTTTTTAGGCCCTTTGAGATGGTTTTTCGAACAATCTTAAAAAACCTTAGGGGGGGTTTAGCACACGAACTAATCGCGCGGGGATCCAGATTTTGGCAAGGCATAAACCCCCTCACGGCAAACACATGATGATTTTTGATTTCCCATTCGATTGTACCCCCCGAATAGTTTGGGGCACTATTCGTTTTGACCGAATTAAAAGGGAAAAAACTATTTGGACCCCCAAAAAACAACGTAAAAAAAAAGACGGGTGTGCGTAAAAGGAAAATACAGGTGTATAATAAAGTGACAAAATGAAGGGTCTTAGAAGTGAGAAATAGCAAAGGGGTGTGGGACGGAAATTGAAAATCTTGGAACTTGAAAGGCCAAGGCCCTAAACCCCCAAAATGCGATTATGGCCCCGTGCTGAAGAAGAAAAGACATTGTACGGGCACTAATATACCAACGCACCTGTGAGAAGTCCCTCCACCTTGTTAATAATCTCGTAGTTGGAAAATGGAGAAAAAGTGGCAGGGACAATCCCAAAACCCCCGTGACTGTTCCCTGTCGTTGAGCCCGTACAAACATGTCTCCATTGTGAAAACCCCGCAAAAAAAGCCCGCATTTTAGAGATGCAGCCCGTTTTTTTTGTGTGACAAGACCCCAATAAGGGATGTGAAGCGAGTGTCTAATTGTTCTACTGCAACAAGACCACGCTGCGATATAGCAACTGAAAAGTGAAAGCTTCTTCTTCTTCTTCTTATCTCCACCTGTTCTGCGTCGTTTTGAAAAGGCATCTGGTACGAGCCTTGGTATGTGCAAAGAAGGGGGCACAGAATTTTGTTTATCGGCGCTGCGTGTTTAAACTCTAGGTCGCTTCAGTTATGTCA